GGTTGAGGTGGGTAACATTGCACAGGAGATTGCGGATGATACGGCCAGCAACATAGACTTCCAGAGAGGCCACCAAATCTGGGTATTTCTCGATCAGAAACAAGAGGACACTGGGTCTTGACCTTTCTTTGGAAAGCATTTCCAATCCCGGTTGGATTTTCCTCGTCCTCGGCCTCGTGACACTAGTAGGATGCTCGTGGTAGGCAGATTCAATGGCATCAGGAGCCAAATCGTAGACAGTTACAACAGTTTGCAAGTTGGCTCCTTTTGCCACCAGTTCATAAAGAGGGATGACATCGAAGCCATGAAGACTATAATTCCTTTTGTATGCCAACTCTGGGTGCTCTTCAATTGTCTTGGCCAGTTTGACGCAATCCAGACTGCTGCTACCGCTGATCTCATTGACGCTGCCCAAGTGCTCTTGTTGTTCACTCATGATCTGTTCGATCTTTTCCTCGATGTCGTTCTGACAGCATAAATAAATAATAAAGAAACGAGAGGGGATGTTTGTCCAAGATGGTCAATGCCAACAAAAACTCAGTTCTCCTACTCCCAAATAAGATGATGTTCTTCATTCAACTCCAATCTCGATTGAACTTTTCTATTGTCCGGTACGCTATCGGGAGTCTCTGTCGATCGCCACCCTTTTGCGAGAGGAGCCAAAACCAGCTGGTGGTTGGCAATCACGAGGTGAACCTCCCGGGACTCGCTAGAACGAGGTAGACGTAGAATCCCCTTTTAATTTTTAGCTTATTCTTTTGTGTCATCCCATGTCTACATCGTACTGCACATCGGCCTCCGTTCGCAGGTTATGAGCCCAACTCGTTCGTCACACTTGCACCCAAGCCGAGACTAGGTGGAGGTTGTTTACCTCACGTAATTGGCTAGCGGAGTGAGTTTGATGCGATGTTGCGTTCGAAAAACCGATGGTTGACCTCTCTCGTAATGGTCGGACGATGAGAGATGGATCTTGCCGTTTTTCGGCAAATCCAGACAAGAGAATCAGGTCACATCAAGATGATGGTTTTGACCGCAAGACCGCAAGCTCAAGCTTGAGCTGAGCTCCACTTCGAAATCCAAATGGCTGACAAACCATTCTTCGGACGACGACGACCAGGTCAGAGACAACCTACGTTGTAGTCTCGCCGTACCAATCCTAGTGAAGTCTACGCAATCCTGGATACCATTCAAGGATGATGTGGCACTTCGAGCTGGATCCTGACCTGCAAGTTCGTCAGTTCGCTGGGTTGTCGCTCCTCCTTTTTCGAAGTTGACCTCCAGATCACTTCGAAAATTGCGCCAATTCCAAGCTGACCATGACGCGAACTAGCACTCAACAAACCCGAGTAGAACAAGAGACTAGAGACCTCGAAGATGAAGAGCTCTCCATTCCCATCTACTCACCACAACCCTTCCGTCCTCTAGGTCGCCGCGACTCTGGTCTGTGGCCCGACCTTGGACAACAGAACAACTGGATCGACGAAAGCCGACGACGTAGCGCGGTGTTGACCACGAGATTCCAGCGGTTGATGGAATCACCGCCGGCCTCGACCTTGGTTCAGCGTGCGCGAGGTGCCCTGACAACCTCCCGTCTTGGCAGATTGACCTCTCGCCGTCTGACTTTCTCGCAAGAAGATTCCGACGCAGCTCTCGTCGCAGGTGGAGGTGGTAGTAGCGGCACTGCCGGTGCGACCACGACCTCTACTTCTCGCAAGAAATCCAAGTCGAAATCAAAACCCAAGCCTGACTCTGAGCCGGATCCTCCCGATGACGACGATAACGGCACTCCACCTGATCCAGAGAATCAACTTGGAAAGCCAGGACCCGGTGGTCCCGGTGGTCCAGGTGGTCCCGGGGATGGTCCAGGTGGAGGATTGGTAATGATGACGACAAGCGATGATGACGGTGGACGATGATGGCAATGACAATGATGATGGAGAGGAAGAAGAGGAAGTACAAGACCCTAATGGTGAAGTCCTCCACCACCTCCAGGTGGATGGCCGTACCCTCACCGTTGTACTGCAAGATCCAAGTGGACCTCATCAAGCTCGCCTATGGGATAAGGAGAAGCGCCATACTCTCCGTGATGATGTTAGACAGACCTTTGTTAGAGCTGCCACAGCTCCTATTCTGGGAAAGCATGTCAAACTGGCCAAACAGTCCCTCCAGACTGATGTCCATGGCATACTTGAGCAAGTCCAGAATCTAAAGGGCATGCTCAAGACTCTCAGGATGCACATGGAGCAATATGACATCATTGATGTTTGCAACATTATGACTCCTGCAACTAATTTTGCCTACACTCCCATGATTGAGCAGCAGTATGATCTCCTCTCAGACTATGCCAGGATGACTCCCCACATGGTGGGAGAATCCAACTACTTTTACAACCGGTACATTCAGGAGCCCTATGTCCGAGAGAACATGACCCTCGTGTACTCTCTTCTCAAGGCCAACACCGAAGAATCCCTTTGGAATAAATGCCTTGAGACCTATGAGACCTTTGATCCTTACCAACAAAGTGGACCCCTGATGTTTGATCCTTTCATCTTTCATCGTATCCAAGACTCCTCTGAGGCTGCTATTCTTCGAGTGCGCGGTTCCCTCAAGAAGTTGAAGATCCGAGATCTAGAGGGAGAGAGTGTGGATACCGCTGTAACTCTCATCAAGACTGTCACTGATCTGTTGACCAGCAATGCCAGGGAAGGCAAGAGCTTTATCCCTGATGACTACACTGAGACTGTCTTGGACATCTTCCAGTCCTCGAGTAACTCTCAGTTCAACAAGACCTTCAAAGACGTGAAGGATGCAGCCCTCGCAGAATCAGATCGAACCTCTAAGCTTCCAGTTTACCCTTCCATATCTGAATTGTGTGATCAAGCTGCCAACATGTACAACCGCCTGGCTCGCCAGCCAGATGGTTGGGTCAAATCTAGCAAGAAGAAAGCCAGTGGCTTCCAAGCTCAAGCAAACACCAACTCTCGAGGAGGTGGAGGCCCTCCTCTCAAATGTTGGAACTGTGGTTCTCCTGACCACATGATGCCTAAGTGTCCCAAGCCCAAGGATGAATCCCGTATTGCCAAAGCTCGCAAGGCCTTCTTGGATGCTAAGAAGAAGTCGGGAAATTCCTCCAAGGACAAGCACTCAAGGCTTACCAAGATGTCAGAAGATGGAAAGCCTCTCATTCAGAATAAGCATGGCCAGTTCGTTCTCAACCAGAAGGTTTGGAAGGAGATGCAAACGGACCGAGCCATGATGGGTGTGATTTGTGACCACTATCGCAATAGTGCTGGTGGGTCGCAAACCAATGAGGGAGCCTCCAGCTCTCCACCCACAGATGATACCTCCTCTGGCAACGCAGACCAGTCTGCTTCCGCTCAGACTGACTCTGCAAGCAGGACAGTCTCCATCCATGATGCCGTGAATTACATGACTAATCGATGGAACACTGCTGCTTCTCATATGAGCAATTGACTCATTGGGTGGTGGAATATTCTTTGCTCAGTGTATCTTTGGAGTTTGACCTGCTGGAACTACATTTGTCCCTACATTGTTTTTCTCAGCTCTGTCCTACAACTTATTTGGGCCTGGCCTTGTCTTGCACCTACCCTCCAGGCTCTCAGCCTTTGCATCTGCCTCCCAACCATGACCACATACACTGCCGTTGATTCCTCGTACTATACCCTTTCTACCCCCTTTTCCTTCTTCTGTACCAGATTCATTTCTTCGGACCACACCTGTTCCCAGACCACTTGTGGCTCCTGCCCTTTTACTTTGTTGAGGATTTGGCCTTCCTCTTCAGTCTCCTTGCCTACCTTTCATTGGCACAGGGGTGGTGTTTTAGCCTCATGTTGTGGCTACTCTGCAAATTTCTTTCGCAAGGACATCCTTTTGGCCGACAAGATTTGAGATTCTGGTCCCAGTTGCCACCTGATGTCCCACTGGTTCATTATTACCAGCATCTAGTCCCCTCTGATGCTGACTGGCGTGTTCAACTGAATGCCAAAGTTCGGTTGAAGCGTAAGTCAAGAGCACTGCGCAAGCATAAGGCTGCGCTCTGGAGCGAGAAGCTTGATTCCAACCTCAGTTATTTCAACTCCTTCACATTACGCCCCAGAAACTCTGCAGATGGACGACTATTGAACAGTCTAGTGTTGTCGAAAAGCACCAACAGGCGCCTAAGTCCTTCCACCAAATCACATCAAAGCACACAAACCAGCCAAGAAACACTTCCAACTACGGCGCTTTGTGTCATCAGTGGCTCCTTCCAAAAGACCTAGTAGGTGGAAGAACCACAAGAAGAGCATCGCTATGTGCCTACTACACATTACTCCCAAGGTACCGTGTCTATTCAAGATGGGAAGAATATTTTGATGACTTCTGCTCTGACCAGTGGATACCTGAACCTAAGGAGATTCGACCGTCTTACAAGAAGAAGCATATGCAAGAAATGCTTGATGAATTGGATCAAATAGACTGGTTGAATGGACTGAAGTTTGTTCAAAATAGCCTGTTCCAACCTAACTAGGAGGCAATTGAACATGCTTTCACGATGGAAGCAAATGTGCTAGAGGAGCTAGACCTCAAAGTGCATCGGCCACCAACAGGTCGTGTCAATTGAGGCGTGTACTCCATGAATAATGACGCGAACAACAACTAGGATGTCCCCATCATCATTGACTCGGGATGTTCATTATCTTTGACCCCTTTTATGGAAGACTTCGTCACTCCGCTGCAACAAGCAACAGTGGAAGACTTAGAAGGAATTGGGAACAAAGTGAAAGTTCATGGAAAAGGCTGGGTTGAGTGGAGGATTAGGGACGTTTATGTGCGGATTATCATAGTCAATACTGAAGCCTACTATGTTACATGCGCAAAGATCCGACTATTCAGTCCCCAGACCTACATCCAAGAACACAAGGGTGACAGCTGCTTGTTAGAATGGGACAAGGTGACCCTCAATAACCCTGATGGTTCCACTGGTGAATTCCCATACACCCATGGGAGCAACCTGCCCATGATTTTTCAAGACTGGAGTGAGACAGCAGGACTTTCTTCTCACTGTCTTTTGAACATGAAGAATGGAGACTCTATAAAGCTCACTGCTCGCTTGATGGATTACAACAACATCAACCTGACAGCTGACCAGAAAGAGCTCAGCTTGTGGCATTACCGCTTGTGTCATGTTGGCTTTGGTCTCATTCAAACTATCATGCGGTCTATTAAGAGAGACTTTTGTGAGGAGGCTCAGCCTCCATTGATACCCACCAAACTAGAATCTACCCGCAGCTGCACCCCCCCCAAGTGTCCTGCCGTAGGTCATCGCTTATAGTTTATAGGGCGTACTCTTATGTGCGGTGCACCTTTCAATCAAGTTTTGTTGTTTTGAGCTCCGCTGGAGGCGAAACCCACTTCCGCAACAACAAGGTGATTGTTGTTGCTACGTCGATCCCGGGCAGAGTTTGGCTTTTAGGCTGCAGAGCACATGCGTTGAGTTTCCAGTTATTATGTTCTCGACTGCTCTCCGCATGGACATTGACCGGGAACGTATCCCATCTTTGTCGGCGTGCCCACTACCAAAGGGCAGGCGCGTAACCGCCCTGAGGGCAGAGAAATATATAGTGTGGGTTGAGAACCTATCGTTTTCTTGATCGGCAACTGAGGATATGTGGTTTCATCATCAAACCTCTTTGTCTGTTGAGCAAACTCTGATGGGTAAGCATGCCTTGGACGCCTATGCCAAGCAGTTTGGGCTACGGGCGATGTCCAGTAGGGGTCTACTCAGGCCGCTGACGAATCGACCACCCATTCTCTCGCTTGCTTGATGTTACTAGCAGGTACGTCGGAAGAGCGCATAAGTGTCGCCAAGAGGTTGACCTTAATAAAGCGGCGATTGGTGCCATATGGTTCCAAAATAGTGTCGAGTTCGTGCAGATGCGCGCACATGCCACAATTTGAGCGTGATCTCCTAAGACATATCGCCAGAAGCTATGCTTATGTCATTTCTTGATTCTTGGCCCCACGCCGTGTAATCAATCGGTGATTATGTCGTTTTGGACGCCAACCCGGCCCGTGCTCCAGAATCGGTGGCCCCGTATATGTATGGAACAATGCAGGCTGTCTCTCTTGGAGGTCAGATATGGACGTCGAGGAAAATATGAAGCTCAGTTCACTCGCGAGCTGGATAATAGAAACAATCCAGTGTGACGTTGCGTTTTAATACTGGAGCGCTATATAAACTGTTACCCAGACTATCGAAGCCCGTTACAGAGCACTTCTCGTGCGCGTGTGTTCGAGAGTGTGTTCTCGCAACGCTGTATGTAGCTGTCTAGGAGCCGACGCTGCGTAGCTAGTAGTCGTGCTGAGTCTGATTCTTCTCGCCACCTGAGCTTAGCTCAGGCATACTGAAGTCTGGCGACCTGCGGAATATAGAGTGTACTCACCTTGGTGTGACCTCCCATTGGCATTCGTAGCTAGCTCTCGCAGAGCTAGCTCGGGATTCATGCTGACTATGCCATCGATGACTGTGCTCGATTTAGGTGGCTTTTGCGCTCTTCAAGTTGTAATGGTCTCGCTGAGCGTTGCTTCTCCTACAGACATCGCCTGGTCGCGTGGTGAACGGACTTAACCGGTGTCATGTCCGCTCTCTGAATCCAGAATGCCTGGTTTAATCTGGCCTCTACTGCGAATTTTCGGGCGCGACCTACGCAGTCTCTGATCACATTGTGCTCATGTTGTGCATATCAGGGCGATCAAATCCTGCTCCTGTTTGACCTGTTTCGAACTCTTCCACTGGTTGGCCTGAATGAGGCACCGTCTCCAGCTTGCCTCCTCTCTCATCGCGGCTGCTGACGGCGCTAATGCTGTGTCCCGCAGTGGAGTTTAGACAGACTTGGGACTCTCGCGACTCAGTGCGCGCGCAGGATTATTATATGGAAGCCATCCACGTAGCACTTAATCACTGGTGTGAGACGCGCGCGCGCTACAAGACTGACTCCAAAGTCCTAAGCTATGCTACGTTGATTCTCTGCTCGTGAGCACTATTTGGCCAAGGGAAGATCGGTCCTGACAAGCCCTCCTGTCCTTAACACCTTTACATGTCAATCACATTACCCATACAGACCCAGGTACACAGTCTGCATCCGCATAAGAGCGACTAACCATCTTGAATGCGCGACAGTACACGGTGAGGAGATTATTGGCATTGCACTCAGATGTAGTGAGACCTGTGTTCTTCTGCGTGTAACTTAGCAAGGTACCTCGGTCGACACTGCGCGCGACATTAGCTGCTCGCATTCGACGCCTGAGGAGTTCCATCGGACCTCCACGGAGTTCACGCATGTGTCAGGGATGTTGTTCTCTGTGATGCCTAGTCAGGAGACCATGGAGGCAATGCGAATCTCACTTGCATCTGGCACAGCCGCAAAGAACCCCTTATGAACACCATGGACCATTCTGGCCAACCTGGGAGGGGTTGAACCAGTCACTAGAGAAGCGGGTATGGCCCTTCTGAGACAATCATGTGACGATACGGACTGGCATTAGGATCATCTCTAGGTTCAATGGCGCAGAATATTGGTTTTAGCTGGTGAGGATTTCGGCGCCAGATCCTTTTGCATCATGTATATTCCGCTATACTTACCGTGGTCGACTCTCCGCGACTTTCCCGACATAGCGAAGGCTTTGTTCCACCTGGTCATGAGCCTAGCGTAGAACTAGATGGATAAGCACGCTTTTGTGCTACGAAGTGATAAGCAACTCTACATGGAGTAGTAATCTTCTCTTGTAACGTATTGCTCGGCTCAGTGGTCAGTGAGGACCGTCCGTGCTGTTGCTGATCCTCAGTGCGCCATCTGGTGTGGCTATACTTTAGCGACAGGAATTGACGTACACTTGTCTCTCTATTGTGTGCTCATGTCCGACCATTGGTTCTACTCCTGGCAGGCAACGATCTTATGTCCGAATGGTGTTATAGGGCTTCTAGACGATATTAGCGGTCCTCCAGAGTGGTGAGATAGACCCCACGCGCGCGATTGTCCGGACACATAAGGGATGTGCATCCTGGCTTCCCTCTACGGGAGCTGGAGAGCCTCTTAAATGTTGCTTCTATAGCTCGGCAGTGCAATCTTCGCCGCGCACTCATTGTATACATTTCACTTCTAAATAGCTAACCTCGAATGCTTGTGGTGTGTTTCATCCCGCATGCATTTCTGAGGGTAGACCCCATGTTTACATGTGTCTGTTCTTCGGACAATCGTTATCTAGCCATGGGATAATCTCTTAGTGTCGCGAGAATTGAACGACATGGGTGTACCTATCAGTAGCAGAGTGGATGATCCTTACTCTCGGTGCTGCTCTCGGAGACCATGGAGAGTGGGCATGACATTGAGTGAAGTTCTGGCGAAATTGTGAGCTAGAGGAATGGTGCTGATGAAGGGGATGGATGATGTCGCTGGGTTCCTAGGGGTGCAGATCAAGCCAAATGCTGAACCTGGAGAGATAACCTTGACTCAGTCTGGCTTGGCTGCTAGAATAATTATGCATTGGGATGTAAGGACATGCCTGGTGTGGACACCCCTGCGACTGAACCTCTCGGGAAAAGATGAGTTTTGGCGATCAGCAAATTGCACCTTTAACTATGCCAGTGTGATCGGCATGTTATGTTACCTATATGGTCACTCCAGGCCAGAATTAGGTTTTGCTGTCAGCCAAGCTGCCCTGTTTGCTTTCCAACCCAAGAGGAGCCATGAGCTCGCTCTGATCAGCATTGGCCAGTATTTGGTGAAGAACCAGGAGAAAGGCCTCACAATGAAGCCAATTACCCAGGATTCCTTCAAGATGGATGCCTATGTGGATGCAGACTTTATGGGGCTGTATGGGAAGGAGACAATGACCGATCCTGCCAATGTCAAGAGCACGACTGGCTTTGTTATTTGCCTCAATGACTGTCCAATAGTCTGGGCGAAAGGCAAACTGCAGCAGCAGCCATCGCCCTCAGCAACCATATGTCGGGAGTTACTATGCCTTAGCCACCTGTATGATGGAGGTGATCCCATTGCGCAACACAGTGAAAGCTGTCGCCAAAGGGATGGGCATTAATGAGCATTGCTGACCTCGTTCAAGACCACTGTCTGGGAAGACAACGTGGGAGCTCTAACTCTGGCAAACCTGGAACCAGGTCAAAGCACTCCTCGCTCAAAGTTCTATGATGTGAAGGTGCATTGGTTCCGCAGTCATCTCAAGCCTGGTAAGCTCGAGGTGGCGAAAATCGACACAGCAGACCAGCTCGCTGACATGTTCACCAAACCCTTAGCGAGAGAAGTCTTCGAACGGCTTCGACTTCGTTTAATGGGCTGGTAGCGTGCTACAGTTTTTTTTCAGCTCGCGGAGTAAGATATTTTCTTCTCCTCTGGCTCGAGCTGCATGTTGTCGTCGCGTTGGAGCTAGCGGAAGAGATGTTGGCGTCGTTCTACTGGTGCGCACGTCATTGGATTGCGCGCGCAAGCTAGATCTCGCCAAAGAGGGAGAACTCTTTTTTTTCTTTTTCGCCAACTCCAACTCTACCAAATTGATTGCGTCACGACAAGGGCACTCCAACGTCACCATGTCACGTCGCGCGCGATCTCCACGCTGTAATTTTCAAATTCAAGTCGTTGCTAGCGCAAAAGTTGATTTCCATCTGGACGTCGAAAACTACCACGCTGAGAAACCACGCCAATCAACACCGTTTTTGCGAAGTGGGTTTCGCTCCAGAGGGAGCTCAACAACAACAACTTGATTTGAAGGCTCACAAAATCGAAGTGGACCTACAATAGAAGGACTGCTACGACCACGAGCTGCACACACCCTGCATTTTATTATCTGTTGCATATCTACTCCATCTTGAGATCGACCATGAAGCGCACCGGAAAGAACACCAAAGCAACAAAGAAGGAACCGTCGCAAGGTGCTTGTGTGTACTCCCAAGCAAGTTCCATTTGCTGCTGAAGCTCCTCCGAAGAAGCCAGCTCCCAAGAACGCTACCGTGAAGAAAGCAGCTGGGAAGAAAGCAACTACATTGAAGCCAACCGCGGTTACCCCTGTTGCAAAGGCCGACCCTGCTGAACAAGGTTGACGTGGGAACGTTGCTACAAGACCCTGCCGTCAACAAGCTCCTCACCATGCTAACCAACCAGCCTGGTCTGTTCACTCAGGTCGCCAATTCAGCTGCTGCAGTCGCGACACTTCAGCAGCATCCAACAACGACGACTCGGTCTCCGAAAACAGCGTCGTGGAATCGTCGCCGCCACTTCCAAGAAGGTCCCAAAGACAACTAGAGCTGGAACTGCCGTCCGATCAAACAAGAAAGCAAGCCTGCCGGAATGACAGCTCAAGCTCGATAACGACAAGCCTGTTGTTCTAGTTCGATGCCGTCCAGTCAAGATAGCAGTCGCAACCTCACAGTCGGATGGTCAGGGAAGCGTTGTTCACGGACTTCCTTACAACCCACCAGGTCGAAGATCGTGGTCTGAGCGGACTCGAAATCGAGACCAAAATTGGAGGCGCTCCGCGCTCATTTCCAAGCTAGTGGCTTTCATGAAAGACACTGTGTACAAGACTCGTATCCCTTCTGTCAAGAAACGTCGAACTTGTCTCCAGCATTTCATGCGCACGGAGTTCAACTTTGGGGTCTCACATTGAAGAACAGCGCAAGGTGCTCTCCCAGGAGGACGGGACGTGCTACGCCGCCTCGGAGAATTCTATGAATGGAACGACCCTGAGCAGCCATTCATTGAAATTGACGACGACAATGATGAAGAAGAGGAGCAGGACGAAGACGAGACGAGCACGAGAGCGAGAATAAACGAGGACGAGGTTGATCTACGAAAATAACAAGAGATGGAGCCACTACCAATACATTGCATGTTTGTGTTTGTTTAAAGTTTGACATCGTTGTGCAGAAAAGAGGACTACGGTACAAAATTTGCTACCCCGTTCGGTTCAAGAGGGAGTGCGAGAGGAGCCAAAACCAGCTGGTGGTGGCAATCACGAGGTGAACCTCCCGGGACTCGCTAGAACGAGGTAGACGTAGAATCCCCTTTTAATTTTAGCTTATTCTTTTGTGTCATCCCATGTCTACATCGTACTGCACATCGGCCTCCGTTCGCACCTTTGGCCCCCGGAATGGTCTTATCGCCCCCCGTTACATACAGAATAGCTGAAATATTTGACTCTGTTTGGCCCCCGCTGGATTTCGTACGGTACTGTACCAGGTACCGGTACATGCGCTAGATAACCTAAACTACGACGTTACGCTCATGTAAACCGACCCCCGGATGCAAAAATTTCGTATCCATGAGACGACGCACCTTTTGGTTACCCCCTCAGTTGCACTCCCAAATCGATTGGCTCGCGTTTACTGTGTAAATTAGTGTACCCGCACTTCAGTTGCAGAATCAACGGTCATGTGTATCGTTAAGTAACAAGTTCCCTTTCGAAAGATTTAGATCGATTCGTGGATAAAAGAACCGTTGAAGTTACTAAGGTTAAGGATAAACTACTGTAATTCAATCGCATGCGCACCTCTGCACCGACAACAGGCACAGTCGTACTGTACAGGTCCAGCCAAGTCCATTGTTGAAGGTACAGCGCTGACTTCTCTCCCTCATTCAATTCCTATGGTAACAGGAGAGAAATCCAAGCTTGGCCGACAAGAATGGTGTTGGAACGATCGAACGACTGGTACGGTCCTAGTATCAAGAGTGTTATTGAAGGTGCAGATTCGAAAGCCATCCCTCATTCATTTCTATGGACTGCAGGAAGGCAGTCAGATCTCGGCCGTCAACAGGTGAGTTGTTTTAATTATTCGAATCGAATCAATCGGTCGCACCTCTACTATCTCTACCATCAAGCCTCACTCAAGCCGGCTGTCTCTGGTGCAGAAGCGAAAGCCATCCCTCATTGAATCCTATGGACCATGGCATGGCAGTCAGTTCTCGGCCAATGAAGGCCAAGTTGGTGCAATTTGAAAAACAAGAGTAAGTCTCCGGTCGTCTGCAGTTGAGCACAGAAAACAAAACTCATATCTATTTGTTGTTTTCTCTGCTGTACTGCTGACGGCCGAGGAAATCCCATTGTCGAACGAACGATCGGTCGCTCCGGAGAACAAGAAGAGGAGAGGCTGCCACTACGGAGGAGACTGTTAACTCCAGCCCTACCGACAGTCTGAACGGATCGTCGTCGAGTCATTGAAAGGGAACAGGAGCAAGGCTAGCTACTCGACAACACACAAGAGAGTGGATCCTCCTACCGGATTCATCCCTTCTTGTTATTTCCTACTGTTTTGGTGGTGATTACTGTGTCGGTACCCATTTTCCTGTATGCGCAAATCAAGTACTGTTGCCACTAGCTATACGGCAGCTGGCTACAATGGCTGGATTGACAATATTCCGTTGTGCGTGTATTCGTCATAAGGATCCAATGCGAGGTAACCGAGTGCAGCGAGCAAAGTCGAACCTGCGTGTGTTCGGTACTGTTGCCACTGTCACCGATCGATGAACTCTACGATAGCTAGCTATGAGGATGGCTGGATTGACAATGTTCGGTTGTGCATGTATTCGTCATAAGGATCCAATGCAAGGTACCGTTAACGGAGTGTAGCCAGTAAAGCAGAACCTGAGTGTGTTCGGTACTGTTGACACTGTCGCCGATGTAACTGTACGGTAGCCGGCTACAATGGCTGGATTAACAATATTCGGTTTTGTGCATGTATTCGTCATAAGGATCCAATGTGAGGTAACCGAGTGCAGCGAGCAAAGTCGAACCTGAGTGTGTTCGGTACTGTTGCCACTGTCACTGATCGATGAACTCTACGGTAGCTGGCTACGATGGCTGGCTGGATTGACAATGTTCGGTTGTGCATGTATTCGTCATAAGGATCCAATGCAAGGTACCGGTAACGGAGTGTCGCCAGTAAAGCAGAACCTGAGTGTGTTCGGTACTGTTGCCACTGTCACGGATTGATGTAACTCTCTGCCTACGGTACCAGTACCATAGCTGGCTACAATGGCTGGATTGCATGTAACTGAGGAAACAGGAGACGAACGCTGAAAAAAAGCCGAATGAATGATTATGATTTAATTTAGAGCTGGGGATATACCATACTCACCCACCCCAGCACCAACCAACCTCGAAACACAACTCCAGTTGGCTACATGTAGGACCAACAGTAGAAGGAACCAATTCAGTAGAAGCAATATGGCATCCAAACGGGACAAGTGTTCTGCTTCGTCGCCCAGCTCCAATGATGATGGTGGTGAAAAGGCAGTTCGACTATTGCTGCATACAGTGGACGGTGCGATACCCTATTTGACCCCTCATCTTTTGGAAACTTGCTTTCCCATCGAGCAAGTCAAGGATTTCCTGTGGATTGGAATAGCCGTGCGGGATGCCTGCATCTCTCCCGTCATGGCAACTCCAAAAAAGGATACGGATGAAACAAAAAACAAGAAAAAGAACAAACCCAGTGGATATGCGTTTTCTCCCACTACCGAACCGGATGCATGGCTGCTACCCTACACTCGCGTGACGGTGCCCACCTTTGATCCTTGTCAGGATTCCATACGGCATTCACACAAAAATATAGTGGATGTGACAGCTTCCAATGATCATGTCATGGTATGGACCGAGTTTGGACGACAAACGTTGACCCGGGAGGCCTATGACACGGCAGCCGCCGAGGGCTTGCAATCTCATGCCAGCGTGACGCTCTTTGATGCTTGTACCGAAGATGCCAAAGCAAAGAGGAAACGAGCCTCTTTGGAACGCACCAATGCTTGGCGGGAAGAAACTATAAAGAGTCATGCTTCGGATGGTACCTTGTGGGCATCCTGTTTGGTAGCGGCAGCCAAAGAGGACCAGGATCCAGGGGTGACGCAACAATTCGAGTCCATCCAGAACGCACTGGACAACAAGTCTGTCAATGGGGTCGCCTTTGTCAATTGGCAAACCATATCCGATGCATCTCAACGAGTGTCAGTACTACAGCAGTGCATCCAAAGAATCAAGAATGCTCCCACCACAACAACCCTGGCAGTCCTCTCCACCAATTCACTGGAACAAGTCATGGAGTGTTTTCAGCAGGGGATTAACATCATTGGGACCAATCTACCCATACAGTGGGCCAAGCAAAAGAAAGCCTTTGTCTGTGATGTTGGAAACTGGAAGAACCGCAAGGATCCCAAACGACCAAAGCTGGAGCCCTCATCGGTGGATGCGGACGGGTGCTTTCCCGTGGACTCGTCGGAAACTTGGATTCGGGATGCTAATCCCATCCTCGCCGGATGCTCGTGCTTGACGTGCCAACAACACTGCCGGGCGTATCTGTACCATTTGGTCCAGACGAAGGAGCTCTTGGCAGAGATCCTTCTCTTTATACACAATCTTCATCACATGATTGGTTTGTTTCGAGCATGTAGCCAATCCAGGATTTCTGGCAGCGAGGAAGAGCTCTGTCGGCACATTCAGGATCAAATCGCCAATAACAACAACAATAATGAGCTGCAGGGATTGACCAAGCATTGATCTAAATTTAACCAACTAGCTTTTGAATTGAACCAAGTCTCTCACGAAGGAGCAAGTGGCATAGCATAGTCTATACTTTCAGAGCTACGACAACGGAGATCCTTGGCCAGGCCTTGTGGTCATTGTGGCTGGATTAGTCCTAGCATGATATGGCGTCAGGGTCGTTTCACACAACAGCTGAAATATCTTGACAATGCTATTGCAGCCTTCCTGCTTTTGACCTTCTTCCTCGTCTTCCCTCTACTGTTCCAAATAGATTGTCGTCTCTCGGCCGCGGGTCTGTTTAGTTAGCTCTTGGCAGAACTCGATAATGACGAGTTTCCTCCACTACCATGCGATGCTGCCGACGATCGTTGTCCTGGTTCCGGCAGCCGAACTTTTTTCCGGGCCACAAAACTGACACATCGATAACTCATGTTCATCATGGACCGCCGATCGGCCGTGTACAAGGAGTGCACTCCCGCCTTTTCTTCCACCATTTCAAAACCCACATTGATAAAGGTTTCACGAACGTCTTCCCAGCACAAATCGACACTATTCAAATACCGCACGTCCAAATAGGAGTATCGCTCGTGGTAGTCGGACAGAGTCTTGTCGTCTGGTCGCATGGCCGGCCCCGACCAATGATACAGGAGCGGACCAAAGCTCATGACAAAGCCACCCGGTTTCAACATGTCGTATATGATTTGAATGTATTCCACAACGGAGGGAGCCGTGTCTAGAAAGAAGGAGCAAACGACGGCATCCCACTGACTCTGTTCCCTTTCCGTGCTGTAAATGGCTGCGAATTCTCCTGCTGCCATGGAGAATTCTGGAATGTACTCGGCATCATTTTCGTCAATGTTGACTCGTTCCGACAAGACGGTGTATGGATCAACGTCTGGTATTTTTGCAATGCGTAGTGGATCCGTGGGCGAATGTACGTTTCTAGACTCTAGCAACCATGGTGAAATCATAATGGGATGCTCGGGAGTTGCCACACCTCCATTGAGGATAAAATCCGATGCCAAGAGCATGAAGAGAGAAAAGTCGTTGCCTTGGACCGAGTACCCCAAGGCCGTGATATCAAAGGCTAACCGTCCCACCCCTTTATCGCAAGAAAAAGAAGATTATTTGTTTTGGTTGTTGTTTTTGTCGCCGTGTGTGCAAGAATGAGAGAATGAAAAAGAATCAGAACAGTTTCAATATAGTATAATTCAAGTAAGTTCCAAATATAAAAACGTACCTGCACCTGGCACACATATTCTAGGCGGTGGCTTCTTGCCGACATCGTCTCCTCTCGGCAGTGGCACGTATTGCTTGAGCTGTTTGATGAGTGGCCCGTATGCCATGTCTCGTTCTGGTTTTCCTTCGGCGGACCAATCTCGAGCTAAACTCTTGAGGACGGACGACGTTTTGGATAATTGACTGTCGGAAACAATGGTGGAATCCATAATGGGTTGCGATGGTGATGATGGACTGTTTTCATCATTGTTGCTATTGTTGTTGTTGTTGTTGTGGTTGCTGTTGCCATTGCTGAGTGGTTGTTGGGAGTGTGGCATTCCGGCATGTCTCAGAATGCAATCGAGACAAAACTGATTGCGAATGGCGGCTTCTTTGTATTGTGTGGCTCTCATTTGATATTCCTCCGTGTCGATGCGCAGTGCTTTGGGCAATACTTTTTGTTGGACTTCGGGGAGAGACTGGAATCTGTTTTGATGGTTGGCCCATTGAGCCATTCCGAAGCTAGCATATTGTCGAAAGGCCCGACAAACATCGTCCCAGTGGTTCTGTTCCTTTTGATCATGTCTCAAATAGGTCTGGTAGGCCAGGGAAAGGGAGTGATATTGGGGTTCGCCCACTTTGTCTGTCATGGTAATACTTTTAGTATATAGTATGGTCAACAATCAATCTCAATCAATATATCCTTTGATAGATAGATGGGAGGGTAGCGTGTAGCACTGTCAAGTCTGTTCACCAAAGAAACACAGGTATAAGACGGTATTAGTTACGCGCAAATCATGAAAAGACAAGGTATTCCACAGTATTTTCTCGTTTGTTTTTCGTTTGTTTGCTTCGATTCAGAGCCCGAAATGAATGGTATTCACCACAACGGGGCAGACAAGAAGCGTAGACCAAGGACCGATTTTCCGTGTGCGTTCCAACTAATAGGAGGATACCCAACACGTACTGACCAGCCGCTTGCTCCAAAGTTTCCTATTCCAGAGGATTCGGCTTTGCCCAGACGTATAGAGATAACACGGGCAAAAATTTGACATAACCTCTGGCAAACAACAACACCATGGCAGACAACACCAAAACACAGGAGAGTACACGACAAAGATCCACAACACCACTCACACTGTCAGTTGCCAGTTCAACAAAACTAACGGGATAGCTCAATGACCTCAAATAATGATTGAGTGGACGGCGAGCGAAACAGCAAGTGGACGACCGACACAGTAGCTGCCTTTGCCACCGAGATAATGGTTCCAGGTTAAGTCGATGAAGTGCCTTTTATAAGCTGATGCTATCGGAGGGTTGCAATGTCTTTGGTGGGGTTCGCAGTATGGTACCGGAATCTCGTACCATGCGGTATCCTTGCTTTGAAGTTGTTGGTGGTTGGTGGCCAACACTCAAGAAGGATCGAGAATATCCGGCAGTCGCCAGGTTCTCAATGCAGATCCTGCTGAATAGAGTTTGTTCACAGCTCCGCACCAGGAGAGAAGGACCAAAGAACCCCGTAACCTATGTTGAACAACTAGAACAGGCTTATTTGCAAGACCGGACGTCAGCATCGTTTCCCATGGTGTCAACGTTGCGACCTCATCGTTTAGCATCTGTGCCGTCTTCGCGTGATCATGCATCATTCCGCCGCCCTGGCAATTTTAAAAAGGAGCTTTAGTAAAGTTAGTGTCATCCTTGCCACAATGAAGGAGAGTTATAGATGAGGTACTCTTCAATATCATAGTCCATCATGAGTGGATTGCTGTTGCTTTCTAAAGTTCAGGTCCATCAACTGTCATCATGGAGACTGCTTGAAAGGCCAACAAGAAAGCTTCCTTTATGTCTCGGAAGCAACCTGAGAGCCCAATTGATGCTGGCTTCTAACTCTCTTTGACAAAATTCCAATTTATCACAAGCTAAGAAGTGCCATCATTGCAGAATCAGCTGATATCAACCCTTGAGAGCACGCAGCTTGACTTTGGTGTTCCCGCAAGAAAAAGTCTTGGACCAGGCACTGCATAATTGCAGTTACCAACCATTCAAGCAGCTCTCAAACTAGAGTTCTGAGTGGAAAGATAGTTGAAGTTGTAGGAATGCAATGTGATGCATTGGTAAAGGCGTTACTGGTAGTAGTTGCCTTATGGTAGAGCTGGATTTCCACTGCAGCCACGTTCTGAAATATCTTCAGACTGAGTGCTAGATCTCCATACCGCGAGTGTGGCGTTGGATCCTTTTCAAATCAACGACTGAGCATCGACCCAAAAGATTTCTCGGGCGCTTTACATTCACTCTTCCTCCTTGGTGATTGTTCATTTATTTGTTGTTGCTCATCCACTCTTCTGCCCACAAAACCCAATTTTCCCTTGGCTTACTCAAAATCAAACAATTACCATGAACGCCTTGTCTCGTCTCGTTTTCGTCGCCGTGACAGCGGCATCCTTTTTCGGCGTGGCCAACGCCCAGTTCCCCGGCCCCGACATAACCGAAGGACAAGAAATTTGTGCCTATGGGTTCGTTATGGATTGGTTCTGTATTGTGAGTTTGTTGTTTTGCTGGTGGCGGTGGTGGGGTGGTTGGCTGTCGCCCTGGTTTTTCTGTGGTAGATTCAAGCATCTCTCAATTCGTTTTCTTCTTCTTCTTTTTGTTCAGGACCGTGGAACTCTTTTGGATGCTTCCTCTATAAAGACGCTGGAGAATCCTGGAGCGCATTCTGTCCATTGCTTGGTTGATGTCGGCGTGTGCGTTGACAGTGGTTACCACGTCCTGCAAGATCCAGTGTGCCCTGGAGATCTTCACGGAACTGGATGGGCCCTCAGCAGTGTCGACCCCATCTTGGCCGATGCTCGGGCTGTTGGGTCCTGCAGCACTTGCGACGGGTCTGGTTCGCTCGTCAAAGGATATCGAGCCGAAATCAAGGGAACCGTCAAGACGGTCGATCCTCCCGTCTTGGACATTACAGGAGTGACCTATTTGGCCGATGGAGCAGACGGTTGTCCCGACGTGCCAAAGCCAGCTTGCACTGATGGAGCAGCGACCACCGACAGCACTGCGTCCACCGACGCCCCTGCTCCAGAAGGGACCACCGACGCCCCGGCCTCTGGTGCCACCCGCAACAGTCTCACCACGATGGTTTCTGCTTTTTCGGTCCTTGCTTATGCCTTGTTTCTATGAACGAATGGCCAATGAAGCAAAACCAATCAACCAGTCGAGAAATTTTTTTGCTCTCCATTTCATTTGACTCTCCTTTCTGTGGTTGTCGTCTACAATCAACTTGTCTGGTGACTGGGTGGGTGCGTCAACCCGGGTCGAATTTTTCAGGAGCAAACCATTTGAATAAAAAAATTTAGTCTGTACATGCACAGCATCCAGCACCTTTGGTTTTAGTTACAGCCCTCTCTGGTCAAGCAGAAAGGCATATTCAAAAGCAAGCTCTCTGTAATATTTGTAGTGGTCGCTGGTGCTGAAATGAACTGGCGACAGCTCCATTTTCTCAAGCACACCTGGGCCAGACTCGGGGCTTTGTGTGTGCCCAAGAGTGGCTGTGAACCTGGCAGTTCCCAGAAGGCAAACCTACACAAGCAGGACGGATGGATGTCTCCTTCTTTGATGTTTTGCATGGGAGAATATTCCATCATGTATTCATGAAACTTTTTGTTTTGGATTCGATTCTGTGTGAGCGTACCTTTACTGGTACATTAAGGTGTGCAGTGGCATAGACGATTCCTCGGTTCAACAAGGACAGCCTGGATTGACGGAACGCTTACATGCAAGATTCCTAGGAACCGTAGTCTACTACATACTAGCCTACGTGTACTTTTCGCGCTGTTCGGATGCTTCCAAATTAGGCAATCGCTACTGTTATCGGTACTGATAGCTCCACATTGGTGAATTTCCCCAGGGTGTGGAAGAGATCGAAACTGAAGCTGGATTTATTGGATTGCATTCAAGCCCGATCTCCTCGAGTATGATTTCTTTGCTTGTTGCCCACCCTGGATTCGCGAGGTCAAACCCAGAATCAAGGGAAAGAGCAAGTGCCACTGACCGACGGACCGTTTCTTTTCATCGCCTTGGAAGTTTCCTCGCCGCTTTGGGGACGGACAACATCCAAGGGAATGTCGAAATTGAACACCACCCTTGGCGGTCACATTAATCGATTCCACACACCGTTAAAAAATACCTCCCTGCTGTAGTGATTGAATCATTTACACATTGTTGCTCTTTGTTGTTGTTGAAGAGCACAAGTTCCTCCGCAAAAGCCATCATTTGTACTTTGAAAAAGTCCCGCTCAAAGTTCCACTCCACAAAAGTGGTTCCGACGCGTGGTCATGGCGTGGGAGTCGGAACTGTGACTGAACCTTGGGCGCTACTGGGGCCTCCAGGGTTACCCACGAAAAAGTCTCTTTTCAGAAAGCTAGTGTTCTTGAGACATTCGAGAATTAGAGAATTATATGCAGTAATTAAAATAATGAGACATTGTGAGACATTGTTTGAATTCGTGAGACATGAGACATAAATATGAGACATTGTGAGACATTGTGAGACATGGATTGACTTAAATATAAGACAGACACTTTCTTGTGATGACCCACAAAAGCTTTTTAAATAAATGAGACATGAGACAGAAGGCTTCTCGAAAAATGAGACATTGTGAGACATTGTGAGACATGAGACATAAACATTAGACATTGTGCCACAAAATGAGACATTGTGAGACTTAAAACATAATTTTATATCCATGTCTCACTATTTATTAATCCAAATTTTGGGGAACTCTGACAAATCCGCGTGTAACCCAGAAAAGGGTTGTTGAACAACAGAAAGCCCCTCATCGGAGACTGTCAGCAAGGGTCATCAGTTCATTCAGGAACTGTGACTAATGCCTTCCTTTGCAGCCGCGCTCTCGCACCGCCAAGAAAAATGAGACCTCCAGAAACTTTTGTTGGCAACAGAAAGCCCCCTGCAGGGCCTTCATCGGAGACTGTCATCAAGGGTGATCAGTTCATTCGGAATGTTACGAAGTACCAAGTACTGGAGTACTTTGTATAAACTGCCAGTGGCTATAAAAGCCCTTGGTGTTCGACAAGCACCAGCGCAAGGTCCATGTAAGAGGTAACGTGAGGGAGGTCTGTCGAAGCGTCGAGGCGAAGCCAGGTTTTTCACAGCCATCCGAGGCAGTCCCGATACCTGTTTCAGAGTAACCCAACCAGCGCGCAGCGGCGACTACCAAAAACCTTGTTGTAATGCGACTTGGCTGCGGATGGCTATCGATACCTGTGCAGAACGGCATTAGCGGCCGCAGTGGCGCAGTGGGCATGATGCTAAAACTAGCCATTTGCTTCTCAGCCATCTCAAGGCTACCTGGCCTCGTAGCCTAGAGCAGCAGATGAAGCAAGGCAATGCCTACAGTACTAGATGCTGTAAAATTGTTCCTCCGCCCCATACCGGTACTGAGTATCAGCAACTAGTACGACTCGTGATAGCACTCGTCTCACCACTGACTACTTATCACAACGAGCATGTGAGCAATGTGTGAGCATACAAGTACTCTCGATTACATAGAGTGAACGAAAGTGGTACTGATGACTGATGGAGGCTTGCTGCCCAGGTTCAGCTTCCTCCAGCCTCTGCAGCCTGCAGCAATACCTTGGCAGCCACTCGCGACACACTGTTAGGCTGCTCCGCAATTCGTGACAGAACATAAAGAAACGTAAGACTTTGGACGATGGCTGAACTAACTGTTTGTTAAAGTACCCATGCCATAGACTTGCAGCAACAAGCAACACAGCTCCTCCATGGCCCCAAGCACCTTCTACCTTCTAGTAGTCTAGTTAGTAGGTACTGTAGTAGTCAGCCTGTAAACAAGGACCTGGTCAAAAAAAAGTACTGCGGCATTCGGGAAACGACGACCACCATTGCAGATGCCAGCGTTTGGACACGTGGAGCCGCTGCAGCTGTTGATGATCGATGGAACCCATTGTCAGTAGCTTACGTGGTGGGTTGCCGTTTTTTTGCTTTTAGGTCGTGTGGAGGAGGGGATATCCGATGTTGCCGCAGTGTGTCACGGTTTCTGAACTCTTATGTGGTCTTGTACCACAAGCTTCCGGGGCGAGTCATACAAGCAAACGAGTGACTGAAAGAATCACTGTTGGGACTCACACTACAGTACAGTCGATGATGACAACCTAGTGTCGTCGTGAAGCATCATCCCAGACTTATCCCAGTGATACTGGTACTCTAATAGCTCTCTAGTAGTAGAGCTAGCTACATGTAGAATGGATCGAAGAGGAAAGCGGTTGCTGTTGTTGCTGATGTTGGCAATAAAAGACTGGACCATCAACAGCAAGCGGAACACATCCTGAAAAGTGATGTCGTCTAGAAAGCTCCCACGCAGCCAGCTTCAAGTAGATGCACTCGGAATCTGTCAATTTGGCTGGTAACTAGCGCAGCAACCTTCTGGCTTGACTTGCTTGCTTGGCTCTTGCGCTCTTGCTGGCTAGCTAGACAGGGTCACCTGTAGATTCGATTCTAGACTAACCGGCCTGTGCAACGGCAGATAGGTTCTTGCTGGCTGCTGGAACTGGAGCGAGATGAGAGGAGGCAGCTGGAACTGGAGATGATGCAGGAAGTTACCGTAGCTGCACCTCGTGCGTCTCCTTTGCTTGCTTGCTAGCAAGTAGATTTCTTGCCTCTATGTTAGAAGTGGACGCGCTTGTTGCCGCGTGTGGCTTTGTTGCTTTGCTGTAGCCAAGCAAGGTGCTGGTATCGCTCAGTCAGGATATCATGGTGAGCATGTCGGCTTGACCTAGAATGCCTAAATCCTGGTTTCGTTCCTGTTGTTGCCCTCTGCCCAACCCTTGTACCATTGGCTCTGTAAGTTCTGCCTGAGGGGAAAACACCGGGTAGTCCCAAGGGCCTGTGCTGGCTAGCTAGAGCTACCTGCGCAAACGTCCCTGTAGTAGACCAACCAGAAGATACAATAATGACCTTGCCAAGCAAGCAGTCGAAGCGGCGTGGAAACTACCGAGCAGCCGGCACGGAACGAAAACGTCATGGTGGAGATTACTGGCCCATTTAGCTAACTACTAGCTAGTAGTTGTCGCTTCGGTTTGCCTGGTTTGAAATGAAGACCATCCACCGGTACAGGTACGGTACCAATATCGAGACCATGTAAGGTACATCGAACCAACTTCCAAGCTGAATAGTGGGGACTAATTGCTAAGAAGTAGACTAGCTAGTAGAAGTATGTTGGAGGAAGCAGGAAGTAGTTTTAATAGCTTTATAAGAGGTGTTTTTGTGTTGTGTTTTTAGGCCGCCGATCGGAGGAGAGGAGTTTCGGCAGCAGTCACAGAAGAAGGATGAGAGACTTTGCATCTCTTGGAGGAATTTCGGGATGGAACCTGACGAGCCGTGGCGGCTTGAGCGTCAGCTTCTCCCATGAAGAGAGAGAACGTGCGGGATCGTCGTGACTTGAGCTTGGAGACTTTGGCAATGGCTTCGGGGCTGACCTTGGCAAAGCCACAGCGTTGTCTCTTTTGCTCTTCCAGAACCGAGTTGCGGGTGTCAGCAACATCGTCCTTGCGCATGTTCCCATATTCGCGGGAAGCAAAGCGTTCCAATCCACGGCGACCATCGCTGCGGGCACACCAGTGTCGGAGGTCTTGATCGGGTGTGGCCGGACTGAGCTTGACCAATTCTCGAAAGTTATTGGTGAGCATGAGAGAGGTTTTCTTGTGAGCCGTCTCGATAAAGCAACCACGTTCCTTGGCTTGTCTGCGGAGACGAATGCTCATTTCCTTGGCGCTTTGCTTGATCAGATCGAGGTCTTCTTGAGACCACCATCGGGAGACTTGGTCTTCCTGGGTGATGGATTCATCCGCCAGAGTAGACTCATTGATGACACAGGGTGGTCCATCAAAGCTGACCTTGCGCTTCTTGAGAGCCGGTGCGCCATCGTCGTTGACGAGGCAGGGAAGAGGAGCTGAGCCAATCACTGCCGAAGAGTTGTGGCAGACAAAGGCAGAAGCACATCGCGGAGATTGCATAGAGAGAAGAGACGACTCCAGTTTGTCGTCCATGATCATGTCTTGGCGTCCTCGGGCAACCATATCAAAGGTGTCGTTACTAATGCCGTCGCTAAAATGGCTCAAATCGCTAGAGCAGATACTGGCTTGGTCCATGGCAGAATATTGCATTTTGTCTTGTCGCCGGATAGGAAATAAAAGTAAACTGTTATTTTGTGATCGTCAAACTGTGAGACAGAGAAGCAAGTTGCTGGCTATCTTGCTGGGCGGTTTTGTAGCCGGAGAGGTGAAACTTTTCAGGAGAAGCTCGAGCCAACAAAAAAGGCAGAGGTGTGGAAAGCGTCTCAGATTGTGAGACGGTAGGATTTGCCAAGAGACCTCGATGATCGGATTTCTCATCATTCACACTGCTGCATCTGGTAAGCCACCCGGTCCACCAGCGAGCCTCCTTCGCTTTCAAGTGATATTTTAGACTGGCACCCGTTGGGTCTGGTACAAACTCTACAGGAGTCTTGTCTTTTCGTCCGTTTAAAATTACGCGACCTTTAGAAGACCTTTAGAGACGTGAAGGTCTCTTCATCCTACGTGCGCTCTACGTGGGCAAGGTCACTTAATTGAAAGGGCCCAAAATCAGGATTTTAAGAATCCAATTAAATTGATCAATTCCAAACCTAAATATAAAACCGAAACCAAAATATAAAACCGAAACCAAAATATAAAACCGAAACCAAATTACTATGGTAAATAACTAGTAAAATCAAGCCGAAACCTAAATATAAAATCGAAACCTAAATATAAAACCGAAACCAAAATATAAAATCGAAACACAAGTATAAATCGGAATTTGGTGTAAATCGCCATTTCGGGCCCTTTCATTACAAAGACGAAGATGACACAGGTATTCTCAAGTACTATCACATGTTGTGGGTGCAAAAAGCTCCCCGAAACAGATGTTAGATACCGGGCTGTCTAAATAAACTAACGGTATGTCTTCCATTAACGGTATGTCTGTTTGATGGTTGGGTCAAAAAAAAGCCCAATTTTGTCCAATCCAGGGCAACTCCATGTGTTCATCGCGCGACGTATCATTGACATCATGACCTCACTAGCTATTCTTATCTAAATCTATTTATTGGTAGTCATCAATTGATTTAAAGCAGGTCATTGCGATGTCTTGACCGAGTTTGACATGACCCCTTCAAGTTTCTGAAATCTCACACCTTATTGTACAACCTTGAGTCATGAATCTATACTAGACTTAACTGCCTTTCACGAATTAGGAAAGTTTTCGGATGCTTTCGAGGGGATCACTGCTGAACTAGGTTCGTACCGGGGGTCGCGTTTTCTATTAGGATTGGCATTGATCTGTTCCACAGTTCTTTACTCTTTCATTCAATCTGTTCACGCTGGTACTGTAATCGTATAGTCTCTGAAGGGGCTTTACTAAGGCATAGTATCAATGGTCACTATCGTGAATGAAACTCTAACAAAGCCCAGTTCTCCAAGAGCTCGAGCTCGTGTTGATAAAAGGCCGTAATATCAGGGTTCACGCATTGATATTTAAGCGTTCTCCTTTGGAAGGGCTATTGTTTCAATTGAAGTCAAATCGTGATACCAGAGTTCTTCAAGGGCCACGAGTATCACCAAAAGTGGGTCACCAGTCGTTGTTGACATCCAAGCCGGAGGGCGAAGTGGAACGCCTGGGATGCAGTGTGGTCTAAACGTTTGACGGGGACGAGACCCAGCCTGGTGGAAATGTGAGACGCTACCCTAATAACTACCCCGGCAGAGCCATTGGATAGCAAGAATAGCTGACGCAGCTCGACGAAGCCGCTGACTTTGATAAAAACCTAGAGGAAGCTGGAGCTCCGCGAATGTAAGAAGTGGGATAACTTTCGGCTATCGTTCATCAAAACCCTGACTGACCCCAGCACAGGCACTGAATTAGATTTATCTTGGCAAAAATTGTAGATTTAGTGTTGTTTTATTAGAATTAGCGTCGCCACTTCACCAGCAGCGAACTTGTTGCTCAACGGGCTGTTTCGCGACGAGTCTAAGTCCAGACTTGAGGCGCCTACCTGTGAATGAATTGGCACATTGGCACCAGCAAAGTGTGATGTGTGATGCTGTTGTTGAATGCAGCAGAAGCCAACAAATTCGTCCAGCATGAGCCAATGTGCCAATGCTGGAGGTGAAGCACTTCATCAAACTAAATTTTGCTACAGCCCAAGAGCCATTTTGATCCAGTGTCGTCTCCGAGTCCCGACCTCCCTCATGGTGGAGGTAACCTCACTGTGGCTCTCTCTCACTGATGATGGGCCAACAACCTGTTTTACCTGTTACCCTTCTGTCCCCCATGTTTCAGCAAGCTTCCGCCCAGCCAGGCACCTCCATCCTCCATCTATCAGTTGCTAAACTTATGCACTGAAGCCAGCATAGTAGGTTCCCGTTGTGGGCGCTGTACTGTACGTTTACGGCCCAAGCGCCCCTCCTTCGTTGGAGCCAGGTAAAGAAGTGAAAAACAATGAAGCTACAGTATGTACGATGCTCTATGGCCATCATGGCATCATGGGACTGAGTACACCATAGTACTCCGAGTAGGGTACGAGTAGATGGATGTACTAGTACAATGAAGCTCCAGTACTGTAGTTTGGCCATCATGGGACTTAGAATGATGGTGTCTTCGATTATTGCTTGTCAATTCGTGACAACAACTGTTACTGAAATCAGATACTTGCAACACTTTGACTAACTCTATTCCAGTACTGCTACATCATGGTAATTCATTCACTCTATCAGCAACAACAGGCAACAGGCAACAGGCCACAACATGAGCTGAACAGCTCAACATGTCGCAACAAAAAAATGCCTTTTCCTGGAATGGTTGACAGTTTTACTACTACATGTACATGATACATGATACAGTAGATGTACTGAGTACAGTGTAGCTACGTTGTGTGTTACTCTTAGCTAAAGTAGTACGGCACTCATCAGACTGTTCTCAGAGCAGTATTTATTTTATTACTCAGTACCGGTACCAGCACTTATGATAGCACCTGGTAGCTACATTATTGCAGTTTTGTACTAAGTCTTGTACTCGGATAATGACCCACTGAGTCCAGTTCGGGACAGAGCACTGCAAACTTCAAGTAGAGCAGTTTACGTTGCAGCCATCGAGAATGAGTTATTTAAAGCTAAAATTCTTAGGGCTTATTTGCTGGATACCCAAAGTCCTGGTATTGAACACTTGGACGTTTCTGTCTTCACTCAGTGGTATTCTGTGGACCTTCGTGGAACAATTCGTTCCAGTCAGTATCGCTGACAGTGATCGTGATTCAACTTAAGGCCAACTCGAGACTGAAATTATTTAAATCTTACTGCTACCGACGGTCACACGAGTACCGTGCGGCATTCACGGGGCTTTAGTCAAATTATTCCCCTTGAACAGTGGACATTTTTGTCTCGCTAATTTTTGCGCAACAACTCAAGTATCGCGATCGTGACCGTTGACCGTGATTCAGTTTTTGCCACTCGAGACTCGTACTCCCAGGTTCAGGTGTGTTGAGTTGGAACGAGGGAGGTCGCGTGACCATGCATTTTGGAGTCGATGTTCAACAGCCCAACGAGCTTGATACCAGACTAAGGAGTATCGCTTACAAACCAACCATGGCCATATGGCCATGGTGGGGCTTATAGAATAGCTTGTCCGTTGATTCGATTCACTGGCGAGGTAAGCAGGTTGATTGATGATCGAGCGATCGAGTGGAACAGCAGAACAATGCTGCTCACATCTCACATGCACATGCACATGTCCATGATGTGACAATGTGCCTAAAATATAACGGGCTACTCTAAAATCTGAAGTATCGTACAGTTACTACTATCTATAGTGTACTGGTAGTATCAGTACACGTACACAGAGTACCTACTCGAGTCACTTTACCTTTCCGGCTTGCTCCTTCTCGGTCGGTTAGCCAACATCACTTGGCCGGTGGGCCATGGTCGCGGACAACATCACTTTTTTGCTGAACGTCAGGATCTTTGGTTGAGTTGTGTTTTTGTTGACTGGCAACCACAGGGTCGCTTGGGCGGGGACGCTTGAAAGGGTGGCTGGTACATTGCTTTCACACTTTCTCCAAATGCAAAGCAAGCCAGCTACATGTAGCTAGCTCGCCAGCACGCGCAGCCAGGCGAATACAGTGGGCCACTTGGATGAGCCGAAGCAAACCCTGAAATCATTCTCCAAGTTCGAAGCAATCGATCAGCCAAGTCAAATCAATTTCTGGAAGTGACTAAAAGGTAACCAGTGGGAGCGTGGGAGCTCGCTCGAGTCAAGTAGATCTACAAGTGTTTTTAGTACAAAATCTAGCTGGCAGTTACATGTGATATGTGGCATTTGGCCACCGAAAAAGACAACAGAAAGATATCAACTATCAATCCCAACATCTCGAGCTCTCATCAGTGATGTCAAAAGCAATTCATGCAAGTGACCAATATGGTACCGGTACTGTACCAGTGGTGAGCTGAGGAAGTCACCACCGCAACAGATCAACCTCCCTGGATCACTGGATGCGCTGAGCTCCTCCTTGCTTCCACCCCCGGCCAGAGAAGGAGAAAGATGTAAGTCTCAACGCCAAGCTATCAGATTCGATTCTTGTAACCACTAGCTGGCTGGCCAATGGCAGGTTCCATTCAACTGCTCATAGCCAAAGAGTTTGCTGTAGCTCCATACCATTAGTGGATCTATCACTCGTGGCGAGTGCGCAGCCAACACGTGACACGAGCAGAGGCATGCCGCAACTGTGACTGCACCAAGTCGTTTGCCCCGCAACTTCCAGTCATCTCGCCGCAGCGGTTGCGGCACGAACCAGCTGGTACGGGAGTAGTTTGCGGCATGTACATGTACTACTAGCTAGTGCTAGCACATGTACACGATCGATCCGAGGACCATGGATGGCACCTCACAGTTTTTTAAATACCAATCAGGTATTGTACCTGGGTACTTCATAAGATTTGCCAGGGTCAAGGTGCATTCAAAAACAAGCCTTGCGCATTGGTAGGTAGATTTTTAAAACACCCAACAAGGCATCGGGCCTTTCTCGTTCTATGGGAAAGATCAGCCTTCCCCAAATACTATAGGTTCGCTGATTGCCTTGTTTCAACTGAAGATGCGATTTCGACAGTACAGTCCTTGGTAGCATGACGATTGGTTGGCTGCGTTTGCGCCGATCATTGCTTCATAAGCAAGCTGCTTTGTTGGACGCAAGCATAAGAAACCAATACATGTACCCCATTCCAGGGCACCATACCTTCACCCAATCCAATGCACTGCCCCACCCCGGAAGAAATACACCGCCGGAATGGTAATGAGTGAAGCACTTCTGTCGTAAAGCTCTCCGTGCTGAGGCCCCGGCATCCGAAGCTTATTGATTTCAGCATTATTCACTGCCTTCCACGTAAACTTCAAAATGTATCAGGGCATTTTCCGCCAGCTACAATCCGTGCTACAATTGGTGCC